CCCATGGCCAGAGGGAAAAGAGCTGTGGATGGTTTCAATCTAGCAACGAGGTAAGCACTTCAGCGTGGAGAGGGCATTCATCACTCTACCCACCACTTACTGACCACACTTGTCACCTGCCCCACCGAGGCCCAAGGAATAGGGCAGTGCAAATCCCAGAAGGGGGAGAACCGGCCATATTTGACTACCATGGCAACCACAATGCAAAGCTCTGTGCCAGGCACAGTAGAAGACAGGATGATACATACCCTTACACCTTGGTCCTCAGGTTCCTTACTATCTGGCAGGAGGGATAAGGACAGCAGATGGTAGAACACAGGAGATAACATTTCTGGGCCTCCAGCAGTGTTCCATTGAGCCTAGAGGATGAACGGAATGATTCATTCCCATGGCACTGCTGTGAACACAGAAGAAATTCATTACCAGGGGCCTGGCAGGGACTGTAAAGATGTTATTTGGGAGACAAGAACCAGGGTAGTAATAGCTCATCATTTTTAAAGTTCCAGTGAAGGCTGTCATCACCGGCCCCATCATTTATTTAAATATCTATCTGTCTGTGTGAGGGGCCCAGTGAGCAGCAGATGATATCCTGCCCCACAGAGAGCCTGGGAACCAGGGAGTCACAGGAACAGTTGGGGGTGGGGTGGGGGGGGAGGAGACTCGCCTGGGATACACTCACACTTGATAGGATTCGTTTCCAGCACAATCCAGCCTTTCAACCACAGACACTTATTGGGCGCTCACTCGGTGCAACAAAACAGGGACATCAACATGGGAAATACAGCAAAACAAAGGGCTGAGCTCTGCCCTCAAGGTGCTTATAAGGAATTAAGGGAGATGCAGGGAAAATATCACCATCAAAACATAATAATCATGAGTGCCTACGTGAGTGATTCAGACACAGCCTGCAGCAGCTACAGAGGAAAAGCAAGCTCCCCTGGTAAAGTAAGTCCAGGAGTGAAAACAGAAGAGGAAAGCTCTCTTTAGTCCCGAAAGATGGGCAAGTTTTTGGTTGGTGGAGGAAAGGGGCAGCATGGGAAATGACATGTGCAAAGGTGTTTAGAAAGGAAAATGAAAGGCCCAAGTAGAGTTTAACTAGAACAGGGACTTTGTATAGGTGAGTGGTAGTTACAACGGAAGGTTGGTGGGAAACACATTGAAGAAAAATGTGGCTCCCAGTGCAGAATTTATCCAAGGGGCAATGAGAGCCTTTGATAGGATGCAAAAACATTTATGAAGCACTAACCGTTTAAGGGCCAATGTCAGACACCTTGCATGTATTAAAATATTTTATCTTCATCCCAACTCTCAGAGGTTAGCAGGAATAACCCTACTTATAGAAGAGGAAATTGAGGCTCACAGGTCACCTGGTAATAAGGGATAGAGCTGAAATTCAGACCCAGGACTATCTGGTGTTACAGCTAGGCCTCTTCTGTCACACCACACTGACTGTCCGTGAAGACTGGGCTGGAACCTGACATAGTTATACAACACATGAAGAAGATCAAGGAAACATTGGCATAGAGAAGAGAGACTGCTGACGGGGAGTCTGAGAAGGAGGTGATTGTAAAAGTCCAGGTTTTGGTAAGGGCTTGAACTGCGGTGATGATGCAGGAAATGAGTGTGACCACGAAGGACAGGGAAGTCATAAGAAATTGCCAAACTGGCAGGAAAGATGGTGCCTTTGATTGTACACACAGTTACTTCGAAGAAGATAGATAGCCACGTTGTTATTTGACAGTAGGAAACCAGAGTAGCGAAGTGTTGATTGTTGGAAGCACAGGCACTCTGCAACCTTAGGCAAGCTACTTAACTTCCATAAAACTCAGTTTCCCCTTCTGTAGGGATCTGTGTAAGGATTAAACGAGGTAATGCATGCACAGTATTGAACATAGAGCTTGAGAAACAGGAAGAGTGCCTCATTAGTGATAGTGGACATTTTATTGGAGAGAGAGGGCAGGGCCCAGAAATGCGTCTTTCCACCGTTATCTTCCTTGGCCCTGCAGGTGTTGCCTGGTGAGCCCTGGAAATGCTGCCTACAACTTCCATCATACAATTGCCCGACTGATCTTGGGCTTGCCTATTTGAACATTTCACTTGAGTTTTGGCACCTGCACCTCCATGATGGGGGTAGGAGTCTGGTCTGCCTCACGGTGTGATGGGCACGGGATTTCCAGGCCTCCAGAAAGAGGAAGACATCAGCAGCCTCCATTTCAGTCCACTGTGATTATAGAGCTGTTAAACCATCATCAAATTACACTATCTTCACAGGGAGCGACTGAATGTTCTATGCAAAGTGAGAATTTGAGAGAAGAGACTCTCAAACCACAACCACCAGCATCACCCCAAGGTCAAACAAACACTCCCTGTTCTTATCATACAGCAATATTATCTGATGCCAGAGAATTTCATAAACAAACTTGAATGGGTAATAAAAAGAAGCCCCCACACTAGGCAGGCAATCAGATTTCTACATCTTAACAGCCTCGATGAATTACATACAGGGTAACCAGGTTTGTCCTCATAAAAGTCATTCTGCTATCCTCAAACTCATCATCAAAAGATCTATATTAAAAATCAGCATGATGATGTCCATAAAAGATTGAAGAAAAAAAAGATAATGTAATGTTGATTCTCCCAGGGCCCAAGGCAACCCTGTCTTCAAGGCACAGCTTCCATGAATGTCAGCATAAGTAAAGGTCTCCATCAATTGTTATTTAATAAAGCCAAGGAGTAGCTGAAACCATATATTTGTATATATGTTTAACTCTTTGGAAGCTGAAGAATGATCAGAAAACATAAGTGAAAGTTTTACTATTCTGTTAATACTGTCTTAATTTTGGTCCACCCCAATCTCAAACAGGTCTTATAGGATTAAAGGATTACCAGCCTAAATATTTATTTTATCTACCCATGCTTGAATTAACTTTTCAAAATAAGACATTGGCTGTCTTGGATGTTTCTTGTTGCCACAATCACCTGGTTTTCCCTCTTGCTTTCTCCGTATGTTCCCTTCCTTAAAGCCAAAGAGTTTGAATTTCTTTCCCCAGACCTCAGAGAGGTCTGTACACTGGGAAATTGACACTGAACATGAAAGACAGAAGCTACCTTCTTGGCCTCAACATGCCTACCTTAAGAAGAGCTTTGTGAAAGCTGCAATGGGGCCCTTCTGTCACTGGCAGGGGGACAGGGCATGGCCTCATGGAATGTGTTTTCCAGGGTCATGCAAACAAGCATGGTGGACATGATGACACCATGGGGCCTGAGCAAAAACCTCAGCCTTATGGAATATTCCTGGTGGCACATGAGTCAGAACGTGCTATTTTATGGCAGGTGAAGACACTGGGGGTTCAAGACTTACAATGATCTGCCAAATATCAAAGCTCAGCTTCTTTAAGTCATCATTCCCTAAGCTATAAAAGGGGGGCAACAAAATAAGGATGAAAGGAGATGACCTGGAACGTTACAGACTTTTCACGTTCAACCGTTGCTTGGCCCTGCTGCCTCTCTGAGCGGCGGCGAAGACAGTTCTGTCCCAGTCCCATCCCCTCCTCTCCTGAGTCCTTCAGTGCTGCTCACCACCTCTCCTGCACCTTCTCTTGCTTCTCCTCCAAGAAGCTGCAATGAGGAAGGTGTCTATATGGCGGAGTTTGGGTTGAGACTCACTGCTCTGGGGGCCGATGAAACTAGACTCAACCCACTGGCCCCTGCCAGGGCCACTCTGTAATCACAGGAGCGCTGGGCCACCTGCTCAAAAAGGATGACATGCAGCAGAGGAAGGAGTCACGACCGCGCCCGGACACCCTCTCAGGGCTCACCTGGAGGAGGAGGCCTCCTCAGCGTTCCCCTCCCCACCACCCATGTTTGTGGTACACTCTCCCTTAAAGCCTGAAGCCCCTGTCTTTTTTCCCCAAGCAGGGGAAGTGGCCTGGCAAAGGTAAGAATGAGGTTCTGAGTCAGGGGAGGCTGACAGCAGAGGAGGGAGACTGAGAGTGTCATTCCTTCAGTGTTGGGGGCTGACTCCTAAGAAGAGCAGGCCTGTGCCTCAGGGTCCTGGGTAAGGTCATTTATAGAAACTTTGGTGCCTGTGTGGGGTTTCTGGAGTGGCTCATGTGTGCCAAAGAATAAAGCTCGCACCATTGCCACCACCTCCTGGCTGACCCTTGACCTCTGGTTTGTAAGGCCAGGGTTGACTGTACATGCCTCCCCCTCCTTCCTGACAAGCAGCAGGGACACTCCCTGAGGGCTGGTGCCTCCACACTGGCTACAGCCTCATCTCCAGCCTGCAGGAGCAGGGGGATCTGAGTGATGAGACACCTACACATACCCTAAGTCCCAGGGGACAAGGTGGACAAGGTGGGAGACCCTTCTCTTAAGCTCCGTCTTAGTTTGTGGCAATTACTCAAATCAAGGAGGAGGAACAGATTGGTCTCTTCATCCCTATCCTTGCCTTGGTATGGGAAACCACTACCCACAGTGCCTAACACTGCCCTGGGCATGCCTCACCCCTGTCCTAGCTGTCTCAGGCTGTATCCTTGTGGCCATGCACTGGGAGACCCTCTCCTCCAAGTATGTCTTTTTTAAAATTTTTAATTTTATTATTTTTGAATTCCCCAAATAGCCTTCATTCTCCAGTATGTCTACCAAGTGCTGCCACCCACTCTCTGTTGGGAAAACGACAAACAGTAAGTTTCTGCCTCCTGACTTGCTTACAGGGCCATAAGCAACTCCATCATGTTTGGGTTAGAGTGAGTGAAAACAGAACAAAATATCGGGATTTGATGCTACTGCAGGAAATCTGTGTTCTGGAGCTGCTGGGTCTTTTCTGACTGCTTTCCCAGAGAGTCCTTCTGGATGTCATCAGTGGGACCTGGGCTTCTAAAACTGGGTGGGGAGAAACTCATATTTTGTCCTTGTCATTTTAGCCCAGAGTTATTGTCACCCAGACAGATTGGAATGAGGAGAGAGTAGCCAAGACAAAGAGAGAAAATTAGTGTGGGCCACGAGACACGAGTTTATCGTTGCTGGGGCATAAGATGGAGCCTTCCTCCTCTTCTGTCTGTGGGGTGTCCTCTGCATCTCTATCTCCATCCTCTCTGGCTTCTGACCATCACAGCCTCCACAAGAATGCCCTGAAGTTAAGAGAACAAGGGAAATAAGGGAAGGAGATAAGTGAAGAAAAAACTACATCTACCATAAAAGAGCTGTCATTCTGGAATCTGAAGGCAGAGTACTAAGACATCCCTAGTTATGAAACCTATCTTGATTGGAATTTATTTATATATCTATTTCCTAAGATGTTCATTAGTAGCTTCCAACAAAAGATGCAGATATAACAAAGTTAAATAATTTAATTAGAATTAAGTGAGAGTCTAATGTGTACAAAGTAGTGGGTTCCAGGGAGTTTGGCCTTGTGCAGAGAGCAAGGGACTTGAAATATCTTGTAGCTGTGTAACCTGAGAAAGTTAATCTTTAAGCATCGGTTCCTCTTCTGTAAACCCAAGTTATTAATTATAGAACCTACCTCACAGACTTGTGTTATGGGTTTAAGTAATGTGTGTTGAAGTGCTTAACGTAGTCTCTGGCGATTCAGTAAGCACTTAATGCACAGTAACTATTACTGTGATAATTCATTTCTGGGCTAAGAAAGAAAATGACGGTGGGGACATTGTCCCTGTTCCAAAGGAGACAGAGAGGCTAGGAGGACTTGATGTATTTGGGGACGGGTACACAGGTTGCTGAGTGGCTAGGGAGTACACAAGGAGAAGAAGGAAGCCAGGCTGCACAAGCCTTAACGATGAATTTATCCCATGAGCAATGAAAAGGTCCTTGGCATTTGAGAAAGGTCACTGTGGTGGAGGACGGATGAAAGCAGGAGGAGATGGGAGACAGGACATGGTCATGGCCTATTGTAAGACGTGAGGTAGAGACACAGAAATAACTTTCGCTGGGACGTTGGAGTGGAGAGGGAGCGTGGGGGCAGATTCCAAGGCCTCTGGCTTGTGTTACTTGGGTCGCTCCACTAGAACGTCAGCTCCATCAGGGCAGGGGACTTGTTTTGTACTTTGATATATTCCTAGAACCTAGAACAGTGCCTGGCACATAGTAAGAGCTCCGTAAGTATTTGTTGAACGGAATGAATGGCTGGTGGTGACATTGCACTAGGAAGGAAATAATAGAGAACAGCAAATGTGGAGATGAAGATAATACTTTTATTCTAGATATGCTGAACCTATGCAGCCTAGAGGATATTCAAGTGAAGATGTCTCATGTGGAACATGGAAACTGGGGCCTGATACTCAGGAGATAACTTTGGGCTTGAGCAGAGTTTTGAACATGTTGGTCTGTAAGATGGCTGAAACTATGAGATGGTTGAGATCAACCTGTGAAATTGTGGAACAAGAGGGGAAAGAGTCAAAAATATAGACAGGTGAAAATCCACATTTGAGGTCGGAGGCAGGAATTTAAGATGAGCCAATAGATGGAGAGAAGATAAATAGCAGTAGCACGGCTGGGTGCGGCGGCTTACATCTGTAATTCAGCATTTTGGGAGGCGGAGGCAGGCCTGAGGTCAGGAGTTCGAGACCAGCCTGGCCAATATGGTGAAACCCCATCTCTACTAAAAATACAAAAATTAGCCAAGTGTGATGGCAGGCACCTGTAATCCCAGCTACTCAGGAGGCTGAGGCAGAAGAATCGCTTTAACCTGGGAGAAGGAGGTTGCAGTGAACTGAGATTGCACCACTGCACTCCAGCCTGGGTAACA